GCAGCAGAGTGAACGTCTAGCACAGTCAGGGATTGGCGAACAAGCCAGTGGAGATACAGCTGCAATGAGAGAGAGTGCAGCTGTCAAGTCCAACCGGGGCCAATATGCGATTCAGGGGCCCTGCCCATCCACGACATCACAGGTTGGAGTCGACAACTGCCCACTCTCTCATTTTGGCTGTAAGACTCACTGGCTTGTCCACCAATACCTGGTTGTGCCGGATTTTCATACTGTTCACACTGCTGAAGGTCCTGCTCAGCTGGATGTTAGCATATAAAGAATAGATAGAGTAATGCAAGACAAAGCCCCTGTACACCAGGACCAAGTGAAAATGCGGGAAAGTCCCGCCCAATCAGGGACTATTGGGAGGTATGAACATGGACTCTTCACAGCAATGTGACTCAGGTAACATGTGGCTGCATAATATAGTCTCTATAAGACTCCAGAACAACAAAGGGGCAATGTCATGCCTACTGCCAGCATTGTTGGTTAGGCACTATAGCTGGCTCTGTGTTCTTCACCTATAGCAGCCCCCCTTTCTCAAAAGGCAATCAGGCCTACCGGTACTCGGCTGCCCCCAGGTCTTATACACAATGCTATAATGCCTGACTACCTCTCTGTGGCAGGCATGAGCTAAGTACAGCAAAGAGGTACTTGCAGTTGGCAGACAGGCAGAGTGGTCCAATGGCAGTCTGGGTTCAGGGCAGGCAATCAGACAAGCAGAGTGGTCCAACTGCAGTCTGGGTTCAGGGCAGAGAGTAGTCAGGGCAAAATCCATGGTCAAAAGGCAGGCTGAGTTCAGAAAGTAGATCAATAACAAGGAACTCCAAAATGGCTGGCAGGGTGGAGATCGGGCAAAGGTTAAGATCAAGGCACGGGAATAAGGCAGGCAAACAGGGAGCTTGAAGCATGTATTGCAAACACTATCACAAGCATGACACTAAGGGTTTGGCAGGCTTAAAACAGATTTTATCTCCACCCAGATGCTGTGTCTACATCAGCTCAGCCAAAACCGAGATGCTGGAATGAGACCAGCAGCTGCCATGGAACAGGAGTATTACACACTCCTGCCAATCAAGCCGAGAATTACTGCTTCAGTAAAAGAGACCAGAACACAGCCTCGTAAACAGCATTCCTCAAAGTCCAGGATAGCTTTGGTAACATGGTGAACAGCTGGAGGGATCCAAGACCCAAGTACAAAAGGCCACCTAACTAGAAGTAGAGCATTCTAGTAGCAATCAAACAGTGTCTCCGCAGAGTAAATGGGCCTATTGGAGAAGCCAGTTCTGAAACCGTAGTATCACTCACCTGGCTACAGATCACTTGCCAAGCTACCTCTGACTTATGAGATATGGAATTTATATTCCCTGAGCATTGCTAGGACCCCAAGGGAGGCCAGCACCCTCATCTGAACATGTTGAGTAAATGGGCACTCTGTTACATTATACATTCCCCTAAAAGCAGGTCTTCTATAAAAAATGAGTAGCAGCCTGGGGAGTGAGGGGTAGTGAGGTTACCTCAGGACAGGCTGGGAGGCTCTAACAGGTTAGGGCTTCTGTAGCTCTCCCACCCCCCTGAGCTTTCTGGAGGAGGGGTGAAGGAAGGGAGGAGCCCCACATCTGCATGTTTGACCCTGGCCAATCCTTTGGCAGAAGGCTGAGCATGGTGAACGGGGCAACCCTCAAATGTGGCAGAGCCTGTGAGGAGGTGGGCAGTGTTGGGTGGAAGATGTACTGAGGAAAGCTGGAGTGTGGAACCTGGGAGGGGGCACCAGGAAGAGGAGCCCACCTACAGGCAGATCACTGGAAAAGAGGATCTCCACAGCCTCATCATCTCCCAGGAAGGACTGCCTATGTAGCAGGGAAGGAGCTAGCCCAGTGTAAGGCCGGTGTGAGTATTCTTACACCTCCTGGGCTGGATAAAGGGAGCAGGCAGTCAGGTGCAAGACCAAACTAGCTTCTCATCCGGGACTGCTTGTGCTAAATTGGCAGCTTCTTGGGCCCCTTGTCCAGGGAATACCCTCAGTGCAGCTGGGTGAAGAGGGGTAGCCATCAGGGGTCTGAGGAGGTACACTAGGAAGAGTCTTTGGAGCTCTTGAAGGAAAGAGACTGTTGCTATCCACATTTTTGTACATAGTTGCTAAGGAGTTTGTCCTCAAGTCCTTCAGTTCCCCGGGCATTCAATATACCCCTAAACCCCATCCAACTTCTTAAACCCTAATAATAAAATCACAAAACCAAGCTCAAGGACTGTTTATTGACTCTAGTGTGCACAGTGTGGAAAAATGCGCGTTGCCTGGCCATGCAGAGTATAGGGGGACCCAAAACTCAGCAACTCTTAAGGGAGTAGAACTACACATTGTTCTCTGATCAGGAAATATTGACATTATTTGGTTGTGATCTTGTTCTCCTTTTCATACCATGTGGCAACATAAGTCATACGTGTGATGCCCAGGATAGTGGTCTTTTGGAGTGTGGTTTTTTAATTTTTAAAATATTGAGGAGCGCAGTCACACAGACTAACCTGTGGTATTACAGCGGGGCATGTAAGAGCTGTATAGGTGATGTACTTACAATAAGGAGATGGGGCCAGCTATTGATTGGAAAGTTGAGAGGTACAGTAACACAGGCCATTAGAATGCAACTGGAAAGAATTAATACAATTATAAACAGATGGGCAGTGATGTATTACCTTATGGAATTTTAATGAATTCTAGGATTACATCATGAAGATATTTGCACAGACAGGTTCACTTTAAATAAATTGTTGTACATTAACACAGGGGAAGTTCTCTCCCAGGAATAGCTCTAGAACTGGTTGATGCTCTTATGCTGTACAGGCTCTGCAGGCAGCCCCAAATAGTGATTCATGAGACTGTATCTGCTGGAGGCATAGGAATATAAAACAGCTTTCCACGGTTTATAAATACTCTGTAGCCAGCAGAAAGACTTAAATAGCTCACTGCCAATCCTATGCATTTATTTGGATTGGTTCCAAGTTCTCTCTGTTTTACAACAGCTTTCCTAAGTTATAGTTTTTTTGCATGTCTAATTTTAGCTGTGTGTTATCTTCCATTACCATATTGTTGTTATGTTTGCAACTTTTAGTGCAAATGGTATTTGTAAGGTCTTTGGAAATTAACACATAGGGATTTAGCCAACATCTCTGTGTGTGAGCTGTTAAGAAAACATTTACTTTTAACACACAAAAAATAAATAGCTTAAAATTGCTTTCCCTTGCCACTGTATTATAGTGATGGTTTTTTTTCCCGTGAGGGTTCCAAATTGATTGTTACCTGACTGTGCACTCTGTGTTATGTCATACAACAGCGGTGCCATTCCCAAGGTGTGACGGTAAAGAGCGACCCAGGTAATAAGTGAATCAGTTAGTGTACAGAAAAATGCTGTCCCGGAAACACTGCATCAGTGCTAGCATCAAAACTGCCATTAAATTAAAAGCTGAAGTTTAGGTATGGATTGTTTTGTTACAGTTATAGTTTTATATAGGTCCAGGTTGGTTATGCATACAAGGTGCGACAATTTATTCCTAGAATGGACTGTAAAAAATATTAAATACATCTGTAGACATGTGCAGTTCATTTCGTTCTGTTATTTGGAGATTCGGGTGTATCTGAATTCCGAATTACGATAGTAACGAATTTAAACGTATCCAAAATGATGAAATGTAATTCGGCCAAAATTCGAATTAATTCGAATTCAAAAACAAATTAGAAAACAAATTCAAATTCTACATTTTTTTTAAAGAAATACGAATTTGAAAACAAGAATAGTATAAAATAGAATAGAAAATAAAGGAACAGAAAAGAATAGAATAGAAAATAAAAGAATAGACTAGAAAATAATAGAGGAAAAAAGAACAGAATAGCAAATAAAAAAATACAGGAGCATACAAAAGAAAAGAATAGAATAGTAAAGAATAGAGAAAAACAGAATAACATAGAATAGACAATAAAGCAATAGAATAGAAAAGAATAGAATCAATTAAAAGATTAGAAAATAAAATCAAAGAATAGAATTGAAAAGATTAGAATATAAAATCAGAGAACAGAATATAAAATCAAAGAATAGAATAGAAAAGAACACAATAGAAAATATTAAAATAGAAAATCAAAGAATAGAACAGAAAAGAATAGTATAGTATAGAAAAAACAATAGAATACAATAGAATGAAATAAAAAGAATAAACCTGTCTTTCCGAAATTCGAATTTGGAATAGAATGAATTTGAATTTGAATAGAATACATTTGAATAGAATAGAAAAGAAAATAATAGAATAAAATAGAAAAGAATAGAGGGAAAAAAGAACAAAATAGAATAGAAAATAAAGGAATAGAATTGAAAGGAAAAGAATCAATTAGAATAGAATAGAAAAGATTAGAATAGAATAGAAAAGATTAGAATAGAATAGAAAAGATTAGAATAGAAAATAAAAGAATAGAATAGAAAAGAATAGAATACAACACAATACAATAGAAAGAATATAACTATCTTCCAAAATTCTAATTTTTAATAGAATGAATGAATCCAAATACATTAGAATAAATTATAAAATAATAGAATAGAAAAGAATACTTAACAAAAAATATTGTAAGTTGCACTATGGTGATATGAGTAGTGATTACTGTTAAAAGTTTGCTGAAAAAAATAGACATTTCTAATATGGTTGTGAAACTGTTTATATAGCCCATATACCATCAAAAACACATATGGATTGCGGATTATGAATTCTCAGAATCAATTTCAAATCCATTAAAAATTTCAAATTTGGGTGAATTTGAATTCTAATAAACTATTTAATACAAATCAAATGAGTTTAACAAATCAAAATGAGTCAAATAATGAATAGAAACAAAACAAAACAAAACATTTTTTTTAATTTTGCACATGTCTATACCTCTGCATTCTACAAAAGATCGGATTAAATTTGAAGAAGACGTTCTTTCTGATCTTCTGTCAAGATTCAAGTCACGCAGTACCGTTTCCCTTTTCATGTTCAATTGCTCTGTCATCATTCGCACACTCAATCTTGGATCTGAGCGTGCGAAGGTTCACACTCTGTCCCAGGGACAGACTGACATCTCATGGGGCCCCTGTGTCCTTGCCCAAACTCAAAAAAGCCTATGAAAAACAGGTACCAGAGGCGCATCTCATGGGGCCCCCTAATTGACCCCCTATTGACCCCGGCCCTCGGGCAGTGCCCGAGTTTCCAAATGGTCAGTCCGCCCCTGCTCTGTAAACATTTGCATCCGTCCTTTGTGTTTTTTTGGTTGCCCACTTCTTGCATCATTGTGGACTTCTTTCTGCCTCTTCTTAACCACTCAAGCTCTTCATGACCAGGCCATTTTTTTTGCTATTTAGCACTGTGCCATTTAACTGGCAATTGCTCGGTCATGCAACAATCTGCGAAATCACGTATATATACATGATTTTGCGCACCCGTGCCACCCTGCAGCAGTATTTCTGCTATAGTGCGGAGTGGAAGCGGTTAATATATAAAAGAAAATGACTGAAAATTTAAAAAAAAAGAATAGTTTTTTTTCTCCAATAAAACATATCCAATAAAAAAATTTAAAAAAAAAATGTATTCTGCTGCATGTCTTGGTAAAAAAAAAAAAATCAAAAAAAACCTATTAATTGGTTTAAGTGAGAATTATAGTGCCTACAAATGATGGTACCATATTTTCCGGCGTATAAGACGACTTTTTACCCCTTGAAAATCTTCTCAAAAGTCGGGGGTCGTCTTATACGCCGGTAACGGCATGCTGACACTTTTTAGGGGGGCGGCGCGGTGCCGCCGCCGCCCCCCCCCCTTCCAACAGAAGGGAAACTAAGTACAGGGGTGGGCAGGGGCTGCTGTCTCTTACCTGGCTCCGGATCCCACGACGATCCGGTCCAGGAAGCGCAGCTGCTCCTTCCTTCGGTTCGTCCACTGGATGTTCGCGCGGCTGCTCGGCTCCGCCTCCTCACCGGTGATTGGCCGCAAGAATTGTAGGTCAGGAAAGGCACACAGGCTGCCAATCACCGGCGAGTAGGCGGAGCTGAGCGGCCCCGTGAAAATCGAGTGGAGATGCAGGTAAGTGTGCCGTGCTTAGGTGCTGCTGCAACCACATATGCTGGCTGCAGCAGCACCGTACTGGAACAGGAGTCAGCAAGTGTCAGTGGGAGGAATAGTGCCCCATCGTTGGTGTCACTGATACCAATGATGGGGCATTATTCCTCCCACTGACACCAACGATGGGGCACTTTTCCTCCCCCCCACTGACACCAATGATGGGGCACTATTCCCCCCCCCCCACTGACACCAACGATTGGGCACTATTCCCCCCCCCCCACTGACACCAATGATGGGGCACTATTCCACCCCCCACTGACACCAATGATGGGGCACTATTCCACCCCCCACTGACACCAATGATGGGGCACTATTCCACCCCCCACTGACACCAATGATGGGATACTATTCCTCCCCCCCACTGACACCAACGATGGGGCACTATTCCCCCCCCCCCCACTGACACCAAATGATGGGATACTATTCCTCCCACTGACACCAATGATGGGGCACTATTCCTCCCACTGACACCAATGATGGGGCACTATTCCTCCCACTAATACCAATGATGGGGCACTATTCCTCCCACTGACACCAATGATGGGGCAGGATTCTTCCCACTGGTGTGCACTGGAAGAGGGGGTAGTCTTATACGGCGAGTATAGCCCAAACACTACATTTTAAACAGGAAAGGTAGGGGGTCGTCTTATACGCCCAGTCGTCTTATACGCCGGAAAATACGGTATATATACTGGAGTTTTTATTTATTTAATTAATACTAGTAATTACAGTGATCAGAGACCTACAGTGGGACTGTAATAGTGTGGTGGCAATCTGATACTAACTGACACTTTGTGAGAACTAGCTAACCGACAATGACATCACCAGTGACACTGATACAGTGATCAGTGCTAATACTGTACACTGTCACTTTACTCAGGACTGCTGTTAGAAACCACGGGGCCCCATACAGGCAACTTTACAGGCCTTCCCCCAAAAAAACAAAACACAATTTACTATGCTTCAGTTATGAATGATCACAGTGAGTGACCACTACCGGTCACTCATTGCATTCATTCAGGAAAGGAAGATGCTGGTAAATGTGCTTCTCCATCCTAAAGGATCCTATTGCATACTTGCAGCTGACAGTGGGAAGGAGAGGATGGAAGTCGACAGCACTACGGGGATGGGGGCACACAGGGGGGCCTAGGCAGCAGGGGGAAATGTATGGTGCATAGGGAGGCCCATATGGAAGAAAAGTATATTTGAAATATACTTTTAAAATATTATTCTTCCCAAATATATTGACATATATTTGAAATGCTACAATGTTGGTCATATTTAATATATTTCAAAATATATTTAAATATATATACATATATATATATATATACACTGTATGTTGAAATGCGTTGTTTTTATTACAAAATATATGAAAAATATTTTTAAAAATACATTTCAAATATACTGCATGTCTTTAAAAATACAAATCTACATTTTTGGAATGCATTTACAAACATATGTAAAAATATATGTTAAAAATGACTTTGTTATGTTAAAAAAAATCTGAAGAATATATTTAAAAAATATTTTTAAAAATATATATTTTTAAAATATATTCTTCAGATTTTTTTTTTAACATATAAAAAAGTCATTTTAACATATATTTGTAAATTAATTCCAAAAAAATATAGATTTGTATTTTTTAAGACATATATTTGAAATGTATTTTTAAAAATATTTTTCATATATTTTGTAATAAAAACGCATTTCAACATACAGTATATATACAGTATATGTATATATTGAAATATATTTAGAAATATATTGGATATGGCCAAAATTGTAGCATTTCAAATATATGTCAATATATTTGGGAAGAATATTTTTAAAATATATTTCAAATATATTTTTCTTCCATGTGGGGGTTGATGGGTGTGGTGGGGGGTAATTACTTTAACCGATCCCCTGTATGCCTCTCTCTGCAGTAGCTGAAAGACAGCAGGAAGGAGAGGAGGAGAGGCCAGCTGCTGCACAGAGAGCCATACAGGGGATCAGGTCCAGTAATTGCACCCCTCTCCCTGTCCATCCGATTAACTTAGCTGCCTGGGCCCCCCTGCTGGCCTGAGCCCCATACAGGTGGACTGGTGGTACCCCCTATCCACGGCCCTGACCAGGGGCGGACTGACCATTGGGAAACTCTGGCATTGCCCGAGGGCCCGGGGTCATAGGGGGCCCCATGAGATGCCTCTGGTACCTTTTTCATAGGCTTTTTTGAATTTGGGCAAGGACACAGGGGCCCCATGATCCCCTATTTCCCGGGGGCCCCATGAGTTGTCAGTCCACAGCTGGCCCTGACTGTACTAATGGCACAGGCTGGGAAGGGGTTACCATCTGGCGGTATTCAAAGGGTTAAGTGTGTGCCTAACAATGTGTAACGTGTGTAATGTGTGCTGCTTTTTACTAAAGATCACTGTTTTTTTTCAGCGCAGAGATCATTCCTTTTGTACAGAGCCCTGTATTGTTTGCCAACGCATGACTCTGGGTTGTGATTGGACATAGCCGATCATTGTCACCTGCATTGACTAAGCAGCAGGGCAGTCACTCAGCACGGGATCAGGAGGCTAACGATGATCACTATAGTAGGGGAGCCTACTAAAGGGATTTCCAGATTCCACAGGGATCCCACAGGTATGGCACATAAATACTTACACATGTCCAACGTCAGTATTAAAGTAGATGTAAACCCTAACTGAAAGTACTGTCTATCAGAAACAATTGCCTTTTTTTAAATAAAATACTGTATCTGCTGATTTCCAGAAGCCCTTTGCTGCCAATTCTTGTCCACATGCTCCCAATTGTGTAGTAATCTCAAGGTTCCCGGGGTAATGATAGTAGACCATACCTGTGTAGTAATCAAGAAAAACAGAGGATCCAGCGCTTAAACATATAATGTTATAATAAGCAGGTGTACACCCAAAAGGCACGTATCAAACCTTCAATAAATATATGTGAACAGGGATGTTGCAGCGCTGTATAACCAAACAAATAATAATTACACAATAGTGAACAGTGACTGTAAATTAAAAGCCACTATATGGTGGCTCCAGGTGAAGAGAGTGAAAAACAGTCTAGTGAAGGAGTGCTCTTAAGATCCAGGGTGATCTTCAACTCCAATATACAGGACCATCAGGTGATAATATAAAGACTGCGCACTCACCAGATACGCAATCTTTATGCGCATTTGTGTAAAATTATCACTATCTTTACATTAAGAATTGGATCTTATATTTGGAATAAAATTCACTGTGATCTGCTGCATCCATCCAGTCCCAGAGGGATATGCCAGATTTGACCAGACCAGGATGATGATACTTGTGATCCACAAATGCGCATGATTGCGTTTGATCTGGTGAGTGCCCTTTAATTGATGGTCCTGTATAATTGGACGTCTGAAGATCTCAAGAGCACTCCTTCACTGTGTTTTTTTTCACTCTCTTCACCTGGAGCCACCATGTGGCATAACAGTCACTGATAATTATTATTTGTTTGGTATACAGACCTCATACCTGTGTAGTGCTCACTGAAATGGCCACTTCTAGCCTTCATTGTAAGTCTGTGTAATGGGGTGACAATACAGGATAACAGTTGGGTCAAAGTGAAAAAGCCTGTCTCCTTGAATGAAAAATCCTGACCCTCTGTGTGGAAGCAGTGGTGTCTCTGCAGTGGTCTGACATACCCCATGCTGATTCAGAACTAGACATCTCCAATCATCAGAGAGCATCAGTTTTGCTGATTGCCAAGCTATAGGTTTGATTCAGTAGAGGGGCATGTTGGACCTCTTCAGAGAGACCATTGCTTCCATACAGAGAGCCGTGGTTCTTCTTTACAGCATGTGACTCCTTTCTTAGGCCTAGTAAACCACTTTCCATCTGCCCTATAGCAGATTTACTGCTACAGGGCTGACATTCTGTGCAAAGTCACGTATCTAACGTGATTTTGC